TGAGAAATAAGTGCTATCCTAACACAATCAGAAAATTTCCACAGCACATAAGAAAAAGTTACAAGCACAAACTGGTAAAAGTCATCAGTGTTTAGTGACACCCAATGTTCCGTATTTTGAACCACTCTGTATGTGGACATAGGTACATGTGTTTGTTTTCCACAAAGTAGGTTTGTTTTCAGTCTGCTGAATATGTGGTACTTCACTTACTCCACAGAAGGACCAGACAAAACAGGCCGAGAATTTTTTCCCAGATGGTATTTGTGAACTCCTGTATCCCATTCACATAAACACAGAGTGTGTTCCGGTTTGCTGAGTTACACATACATGCTGGGACTTAGTACAAAGTCAAAATGTTTAGTTAGCTAGAAGTCTGTTTCCATTCTGTGATACATGAGGTCCCCCTGGTACCTCTACTTCCTTTATTTTATACAATCACAAATTATATTAGTTTGTCCTATTTTGATAACCCTTATAATTGAAGTTCTGCACAGGAAACTTTATGACTATTTTAAAACATACTCATAAACCATTACGAAGGTGGCATAAGCGACGCCTAACAGAATTGGTGATTAGGACTGAGCAGTGCCTTGCATGAGTTCCTTCTACCAGGAGATTAACTGCCAAATTAAAAAGCATTATAAGTAAGAGTAGGGGTGGGGGGAAGCAACTCAGCGCATGCTGACCCAGATGGTAGATTTAAGCAATCACTCTTCATGCATATAAATTTGTTACTAATTTTCACAATTAAAGATTATTAGCATAACCCTGAAAAACTGGTTCTGATATGAAAACAGTACAACAGATTGAATAGCTTACTCATTACCTGGTAGGTTAATATAGTGAAAATCCAATGTAATTTTGAAATGAAATGGTCATTATATTCTAGGCATAAAATAGATTCTCTGACATTTAACTTTGAACAGAAAACGAAAGCAGCTATATAGTCCTCGGAAATCATGACAGTTTTGGAACTTGAAAGGATCTTACTGCTGAGAGCATCACACAGCAATTCATTCACTGATGCTGAGATGCCAGTGTCGTCCCCAGGAAGGAGCCTGGTGGTGCCCCTCTTGCCGCTCTGGGGCCCATTGCCTCTGTAACTGCTTAATACAAAACAAAGCCTGACCACTAGTTTCCCTTTTTGTCTTTTCTGTAAAAATCAAAATCCTCTTCGGATTCCTTTTGGTTAGCAAACACAGGTACCGAGGCAGGTCTTTCGTGAAAGTGAAGTGGTAACAGGCAAACTTTCAGAAACCAGGGGAGGCCTGTGTGCCCTGTCGCTCCTCACTGCGCCCTTAATCTCCACGCAGCCCCAGAGGACAGCGAGCGGGCCTGAGCACCCGCACCCGCACCCGCACCGGGAGGGGGCAGAGCCGGTGGGTCCTTAGAGCGGGTGGACCCGGAGGTGCTGAGCGGGAGGCAGGGAGTCGCAGATGGAGTAAGAAACGAGAGGCAGAAGAAAAGATTTGAGGAAAAATTTACAAATTTAGTCTATTGCCGGTTTTACTACAGTTCCCAAATGAAACAGCATGCGGCTGCTGCCAAAGTGATCCCCAATATGTGCACCCCCTCGGCCATGCTCCAGAAGCTCGCCAGACTCGGTCCACCCGCGGACTCTGAGCGGACCGACTGGGCTCCCGTCCCTCCAGCTCCAGCCTGTCACCAGTCCTACGGCACAGGAGGACTCTGGCAAGAAACTACCGTATCAGATGGCAATCAGAGCAGGCACTGTCCCTGACCCAGTGACACGGAACAGGAAAATCATGGACTGTGGAAATCCAAGAGGCCTCTTCCAAATAACCAGTGGCTCAGAGAAGAAATCAAAAGGGAAGACAGAAAGTGTATTCAAAAGAAAAAAAAGTTGCAACACACCAAAACCTCCGGGATGCAGCAAAAGTAGTTCTGAAAGGGAAATTTATAGCATTAAATACCTGTATTAAGAAAAAGGATCTCAAATAAACAACCTAACTTTACACCATAAGCAATCAGAAAAGAACAAACTAAGTCCAACAGTAGCAGAAGGAAGGTAATAATAAAGATGAGAACAAGATAGAGACAAAAAATGCAATAGGAAAAAAAAAAATCAGTAAACCTAAGATTTTTTTTCAAAAGGTAAACAAAGTTACAAACCTGTAGCTAAACCACCCAAGAAAAAGGGGAGAACTCACGTAAATGAAATTCTAAAAGTAGGATACAAAGCATTGTAAAAGGCTGCTAGGAACAATTCCATGAAAGTAAACTGAATAACCTAGTTTGAAATGCATAAATTACTACAAACATACAACTATGCAAGGCTGAGTAATGGAGAAACAGAACATCTTAACAGACAGTAATGACTGAGACGTTGACGCAGTAATCGAAAACATTCCAAAAAAAGAAAAGCCTAGCATCAGAGTTTCACTGATAAGTTCCACCAAAACTTTAAAGACGAATGGCACACTTTCTTAAATTCTTCCAAAAAATGAAGAGGAGGGACTACTACCAAACTGATGTTATGAGTCCAAAATGTGATATAAAATTCAGATAAGGACACTACAAGAAAAGAAGACTAAAAATCAATATATCTGATGAATACAGATTAAAAACTCTCACCATGGGAAGTTCTCGGCATGACGTGATTATAGAGAAAGCCCATTCACAGCAGCGACGAAGATTATACTTAGGAATCAATCTAACAGGAAATCTATGAGGCCCATAGAGGAAAATGTTAAAACACTCATGGAAGACACAAAAGCAGTCTTAAAAAAAAAGTAAAGACATTCCCTACTCTTTTTTTTTTTTTAAATATGTCTTTCTTGATTTCAGAGAGAGGAAGGGAGAGGGAGAGAGAGAGAGAAACATCAATGATGAGAGAGTCACTGATAAGCCGTCAGCTGCCTCCTGCACGCCCCTGACTGGGAATCGAGCCCGCAACCCGGGCATGTGCCCTGACTGGGAATCGAACCCTGACCTCCTGGATCCTAGGTCAACGCTCAACCGCTGAGCCACACCGGCCAGGTGACATTCCCTATTCTTAAATTGATTCAACAGTCTAAAGACATAGTTCTCTCTAAATTTATAAATTCATGCAATCTCAATAAAAATACCAACAAGCTATTTTATGGAGCTACAAAATTTAATACTAACATTCATATAGAAAAATAAACATACAAGAATAGCCAGGAACACACTGAGAAAGAAAAATTACAAGGTGAGACTAGCTGTAACAATCTTTAAAATATACTATAAAATCTGTATAATTAAAAATGTCATATTAGCACTTGCATAGACAAATTAACCACTGGTATAGAATACAAAATCAGAAATATACCCTAGTGCATATGATAATTTAGTATGTGATAAAGGAAGTATCTCAAATGGATCAAAAAGATTAGATCCATAGCTCACACAATAAAAAGAATGATCTGCAGATGGATTAGGGATCTAAATGTTAGAGAGGGAATCCATACAAGTACTAGAAGGCAAGACTGGATGTATTTCCTCTTGAAACTCGGTAAAAGGAAAAGTTTTCCTAATTATGATTCAAAATCCAAAGATAATAAATGATGAATACATTTGACTATGTTAAAATAAAAAACAAGTCAAAAGATAAATGACACACTGCAAGGATATATTATTAACACATTCCACAGACAATCCCTAATATATAACATAGGACCAAGAACCTAATAGAAAAATGGGGAAAGAACATGAGAGTTCCTATCATTGGTATAACTTGAACAATAAAAATAAATAATATTACTGCATAATATCCTAAAAATAAAATTTAGATATTCATTAGCCCATATATATATATATATATACATGTATTTACTTGTTTATTATTTGTGTGTGTGTATAATTAAATAAATACACGGTGATAAAGGATAGCTATTCTTTTCAGGATAACTGGAATTAAAAAATAGAAAAGGAAATAGAAAACCACTCTTAGGCAAATACACAGTAATAATTGTCTCAAACAAAATATACTGATGTTAAAATTTATAGGCAAAAATAATGAGAAAAAGAATATTTGCATAGTCACAAAATATCTCCCCTAAGATAGTTATTAACAACAAAATGGGAAAAAAAATACTAGCTGTACTATATTGGAAAAATTCAGCACACACTACCTTAACTAAGTTTTCAAGGTTAAGATCACAAATAAAACATTATCAACAACATAAACTTGTTGATCTGATACACTTAGAAAGACCCCTAACTTCTGTGGTATTCTTCCCCTAAAAGCAGAGCAACATTCCCATCCTAAGAAAACATCAGACCAATTGAAAAAGAAGAGCGTGCTGCAAGGTAAATGCCTGGTGCTTTTCAAAAACGTCAAGGTCATGGAAGACAAGAAAAGACAGAACTATCACAGATCGGAGGAGACTATAAAGACATGATAACTAGCTACAGAGTTTTACCCTGGATTGGCTCCTAGAACAGAAAAGGGACATTAATGGGAAAGCTGAAGAAATTTATGTAAGGTTGATAGATTATTAATATTATTGTGCCCATATTGTTTCCTGGTTCCGATCATTGTACTGCAGTTACGTCATTGTTAACACAGAAAGTTGAGGAGTATCTAGGAATTCTCTGTACTATTTGTGCAAACTTTTGATAAGCCTAAAATTCAAAATAAAAGTTTTAAAGAGTTCTGGAAAAACTATGCTTATACAGTGATAGAATGCAGATTATAAAACCTGCTCCCAGGGGTCAGAGGGTGAGTGAAAAACTTATTTACACAGGCGGCCCATGGGAAGGAACGTTTCTGGATGATGAAAATGTCCATATATCATGACTGTATTGGCAGTCACATGACAGTAAGTTGTCAAAACTCACTGAACTATACACTTCAACTGGTGAAATTTTGATATATGTAAACTGTAACTCAACAGGGCTGACAAAAAAAATTCCAAATGTAAATATAACCTTTAAAGGAAACAGGGTTGGGTTGCAATCCCAACATAAGCAGAATGCAGAGGAGCAATACCAAATGAGGTTATATATGCTCTTACCAGATTAATTAACTGAGTGTGTACCACGTCTTCTACCAAAACTGCTGTTTCATGAAGAGGCCTCCTAGCATCACCTAAAGAAAACCTGCAAAAAAAAAAAAAAAATTAATCACACCAATATTAAGAACTGTGAAATTAAGAAAGGGAAAGGTGAAAAATATTCACTGCAATAATCTGTTTAATAAAGTACAAATTGTTCTCTCAAACAACAGTGCAGAGGTACAGTTTTTTATGGACAAAGAATTGCCTCTCTCACACAAGCTGAACATTCCCCCCCCCAAATGCAGTATTATCTATGCTACTTCTTTCATATATATTTAATAGGTGTAATGTTTACTGTTGAAAGTATTACAAATGACCCCCATTTTTCTCCCATCATTGGCCCCCTCCACCCCACTCCCACCCCTCACCCCAAGCCTTCCCCACACTATCGTTTGTTCATGGCCTATGCATATATGCATATGTTTTTTAATTAATCTCTTCCCCCCTCCCCCCTTCCCTCTGAGATACGTCCATCTGTTGCATGTTTCAATGTCTCTGGATATGTTTTGTTCTTCGGTTTTCTTTGTTCATTAGATTCCACATATAAGTGAGATCATGGGATACTTGTCTTTCTGGCCTGGCTTATTTCACTCAGCATAATTCTCTCCAGGTCCATCTACGCTGTCCCAAAGGGCAAGAGATCCCTCTTCTTTACAGCTGCATAGTATTCCACGGTGTGAACGTCCCACAGCTTTTTATTCACTCATCTACTGATGGGCACTTGGGCTGTTTCCAGATCTTAGCTATTGTAAATTGCTCTGCTATGAACATCGGGGTGCAAATATTCTTTCTGATTGGTGTTATTTCTTAGGATACATTCCAAGGAGTGGGATCAATGGGTCAAAAGGCAGCTCCATATTTAATTTTTTGAAGAACCTCCATACTGCTTTCCACAGTGGCTGCACCAGGCTGCACTCCCACCAGCAGTGCACCAGGGCTCCCCTTTCTCCACACCCTCGCCAGCGCTTGTCATTTGCTGATTTGTTGATGGAGCCATTCTAACAGGTGTGAGGTGATACCTCACTGTCCTTTTAGTTTGCACCTCTCATGGTTAGTAACTTTGAGCATTTTCTCATATGTCTCTTGGCCATCTGTATGTCCTCTTTGGAGAAGTGCCTATTTAGGTCCTTTGCCCATTTTTTAATTGGATTGTTTGTCTTCCTGTTGTTAAGTTGTATGAGTTCCTTATATATTTTGGATAGTAACCCTTTATCAGATGTATCCTTGGCAAATATGTTCTCCCATACAGTGGGCTCCCTTTGCATTTTCTTGATGGTCTCTTTTGCTGTGCAGAAGCTTCTTATTTTGATGTAGTCCCATTTGTTTCCCTTGCCCGAGGAGATAAATGGGCAAACAAACTGCTACAAATGATGTCTGATATTCTGCTGTCTATGTTTTCTTCTAGGATTTTTTTTTATCACGACTTACATCTAAGTCTTTTATCCATTTTGAGTTTATTCTTGTGTATGGAATAAGTTGATGGTTTAGTTTCATTTGTTTTGCATGTACCAGTCCAATTTTCCCAACACCAGAAACTGGCCCAAGCCATCATTTTCAATGACCTAAATTAAAGAGCTAAAACTATTAAACCCTTAGAACAGGGAGAAAATCTTCATGACTGTCAAGCTGACAATGATTTCCTAAGTATGACACCAAAGTACAGGCAGCAAAAGAAAAAATAAATAAACTGAACTGCACCAAAGCTAAACCCTTTTCTACATGAGACACTATTAAGAGAGTGGAAATCTTCTGTTGTGATCACTGATGTGTTCAGTATTGAATTCTTTGGACTGCACGAACAAACTTTCCCTTCCATTATTTTAAGTTGCTTCAAATCTCACTTTAAAAAAAATACAAAGTTATCAAAGTGAAATGATTGACTAAAAACATAAAACAGTAAATTCATTTCATATCTCTAGTAAAAAGAACATTTAAAAAACACATTAAAAACAATCCAATTAAGATGTGTTTTTACAATGTTACTTTACCTAGAGCTATGAACTGGATTTGTTGTTTTACCTTAGTCAGTTGGGTTGAGTCAATTGGATTGTTATGACTTAAGGAATAAAAAGAAACACCATTGCTGCATAATATTCTAAAAATATTAGTACACACACACACACACGTGCATGGTGCACACACAATAAAATGCTATTCAGCCATAAAAAAGAATGAAATCGTGCCATTTGAGACAAAATGTTGGCATTATGCCAAGTGAAATAAGTCAGAAAGAGACAAATACTGTATGATCTTACTTATATTTGTAATCTAAAAAACAAACAAACAAAAGAACAAAGCTCACAGATACAGAGAACAGATTAGGTAGGTGTGTGTGTGTGTGTGTGTGTGTGTGTGTGTGAGAGAGAGAGAGAGAGAGAGAGAGAGAGAGAGAGAGAGGGAG